ATGAATATGCATGAGCACAGGCGGTACGGCCGGGGACGGCGCTCCTCGGTGAGGATCCCCTCGCCCAGCACCCCCGAGGGGAGGCGGGCGGGCCGCACCGGTAACCGGGCTCCCTCGCTACGGGCGGCAAGAAGAGCGAGCGAGAGCCTCTTCAACGCTTCTCGGCGCCTTTGCCGTGAACGGCGGGTGCGGCGGGCGCGCGGCCCCCCAGGGAGAGAAGGGCAGATGGAAAAGGCAGTTCCGCTTGGCCAAAGGCTCAGCAACTGTGAAGGAGCATTAACAAGTTCCACTGGTTGCGAGGCTTGCAAAGGAAATATAATTTGATGACTTTCCTCCTCCTAGGCCAGAAAAGAGGCAGGCATGGTCTACGTGCACCAGGTAGCCATACCACATTTTGTATCAGCCGTAAGGAACACCACCCCGAGGTGTAGGAGAGGAGGCACACGTTAGAACAAATCCAGTTTTATAGCCCTAGGGCTAGGGCTTCTCCAGAACTGATTTGGAAAGCCAGGGTATTTTTAGGCACTGGTTCTTCCGGGAGGAGGGTGGAAAAGGCACGCTCTCTCCAGCAGACACACTAATTCTGTACAAATCCACTGCTTTGGCTCATCGTGCAGCAGATCCCCTGCCCACAACAGTAGGGAACTTCACAGTTTCATCTCCCTTCCCCCCCCTCCCTTGTTAGGGTCTAATTTCTTTTTTTGTGAGGAGAATAAACTTTCCTCTATTTTCTTGAGAGAAAAAAGTATTTTGGATAAAACAGATTACATATATCAAGCCATATTCCATGCTTCTCTGATCTATTAGATAAAAACGAAGAGGCAAGTCGGACACTTTCTTCAGGGGAAGATGGCACATGATGGTGCCCTCAAGCCAGGTATAAGAACTCTCCTCTTCTGCTGCGTTCCACCTCTAACAGAGTAGGGCAGGTTGGCTGAGACAAGGACAACTGAGAACAAAGCAAAACAAAACCCATGAAATAAAACCCACACAGGAAACGCTGCTTCAAAATTTCTATATTATTTACTTTTAAGCAACAGTCCAGCTTTGTGAAATTACAACACACACTTTAAAGGATG